TAGCTATCCGTAGTGTGGCAAGCTTGTTGAGTTGTTTTTAGTTACTTGTTGAATATAGTTCAATCCCATGGTGGTAAGGTTTTCATGTTCGTTTTTTCCTTAAAAACTAGGTCAATCTTTTCTAATAAAATTGTGCAAAGCTTTTGCCATTCTTTAAAAAAGACATATATTGACAAAATGAAGCATGAATCTCTATTTACCTTACCTGTCTCTGAAATTGATTGTATGCATCGTAATTTTCAGGTGACTAAAGTAGGCATCTAACCAATACAATTGTGAACCTATAGAGTATTTGCGATTACCGTTTCCATTATTTGCGAGTGAATTTCTCATCTAAAATCAACATAACTTTGTACTTCCTCCATCCTAAATTATAAGACGTTTGACTTTTTTGACCCCACGTTTGATCACTCGTCTTATTCAAAAAATTTGTGTAAACATAGTCAAATTTAAGTCATTCTAGAAGAACTTTCATAAATAAAGCAAGCCACGACAAAAGAAGTGATATTTTGCATAAATTTTTAAATAAGACGAGTGGTCAAACTTGGTGTCAAAAAAGTCAAATGTCTTATAATTTGGGATAGAGGAAGTATTTCACACTTTTTTCTCACAAATTCACTTTGGAAGCAAAGGAACGAAAGTCCTATATAAAACTTGAAACATTTTTTGAGAGGATAATTTTTTTTCAGAACGTGTGTGTGCCGTTGGTTCTGGGCTTTTATTCAGTCCATTCACGGGAAAGCGATGAGGCCCAAGCTCCTTCCTCTCTTCGACTCTTCCCCGTTTCCTCACTCCACGCGGACCAGACATTGAGATCCTGCAACCGCAACAATGGCGGCCATGGCGAACACCTCTTGTCTCCCCACCCCCTGCAGCCTCCCAACCGTCAGCATCGGCGCTAAGAGCAGGAGGCTAGCTATGGCGGCCGTCAGATGCGGTCCCGGCGGCAGCAGGAGCCACCGGAGGAGCCTTGGGGTCTTCCTGTGTCGATCCTCGTCCACGGCCGGAGCCCAAGGGGGCACGAGGATGGAGGACTATAACGCCGCCATGAAGCGGATGATGCGTAACCCCTACGAATACCACCACGATCTCGGTACTGACTCGTTCCATTAGTATTGCTTTTCATGCGATGGCCCCTTGTCGATTGCTACAGATGTGGAAAATGGGTAAAGGCTAGAGCTTGACGTGTTTTGGTAACTTATCCATAAGGATTTCAGCAGTGATGTTAGTGATTCCACGCAATTAATGTGGTACTTGGTGAAATTACTAATGGGTTTGCTTGAAGATTAGATTTTGGTACATAGCCTCCAATTTTCTCGGTCAAGTTTAATGTATATAATATTCTTTTCGAAATTAATCGCAGCTAATTTTAAGACTGCATATCGTGAGATGATGTCATTGCTGTGCTCACAGGGCTTTTGGTTGCTTGCCCCTTCATATCATGAAAATTTGTTGCCTTGGTGGTTAAATGTATGTTTGGTGTGTTGATGTGTTGTACGATCCATACACATTTTTCAGTGATCAGTGTGGCAGTTGGGATAATTCTTGAATTGATTTCGTGTTTGTTGATGTGAAGATTCTATGATTTGGATTTGCCCATTCATGACAACAACACATCTTTCCTCTATTCAATACAATGGGTACACTCTCTTGCCAATTCTTTCAAAAATAAGACAATAAGATGCATAAAGAAGCCTCATTGTCATTTTGGGAGCTTTGTATTACCAAATTGTTGCCTATATATTGCAGAACACACTAAGACTGTTGCCAACTTGAAGGAAAAAAAACTTAATCTTGCAGTGCTGTTAATTGATCGTCTAATGTGTTATTGTTGATAGTTTGCTCAACTAAATTTATAGCTTCCTAGACCTGTTTGTCTTAAAAATAAACATTGGTACTCATTGTTCTTATTAAGTTTCTACTTTCTAGTAGTTCAGAATAGCCAAGCTCTATGTCAGGACACAAATAAATACATTTTCCTTAACTGAGTCTACTTCAGAATAGCCAAGCTCTATGCCAAGCTCTTCTCTTTTTCTGAAATATTAACATCACAGGAAAGTTGTTGCGAAACTATCACTTAAATGGTAGCAAGATAAAATATTTTTGTCAACATTTGGGGCCTCTTTTGTCAGAGTCAATTACATCTTCTCTGGCTTAAGTTGTTTTTTTTCACAAGATGCTATACTAGATGCAATAATTGAAGGATTAATCACTACACTTGGAATATAGGTATGAACTATTCTGTCATAAGTGAGAGCTTGATTGTTGGCTCACAGCCTCAGAAACCTGAAGATATCGATCACTTGAAAAATGAAGAGCGAGTAGCATATATTCTTTGTTTACAGCAGGACAAGGACATTGAATATTGGGGCATTGATTTCCAATCCATTCTCAATAGGTGCAAAGAACTTGGCATTCAGCACATTAGAAGACCGGTGAGCTTCTTATACCCATTGAGTGTGTATAGTATAATTCTACATGCTTAAATTTCTTCTGGATTTCTGATAACTTCAAAAATACTAATTAGTGTTCTAGCTCAGTCTGCATTTCAGTTTTTGACACTAGTAGCATCTGACCTTGTCTATATGCTTACGGTTGCTTGGTTGCAGGCAGTGGATTTTGATCCAGATTCATTGAGATCACAATTGCCAAAAGCAGTTTTGGCGCTAGAATGGGCTATATCGCAACGCAAAGGGCGAGTTTATGTGCACTGCACTGCTGGACTTGGGAGAGCACCTGCGGTTGCAATTGCTTACATGTTTTGGTTTGAGAATATGGATGTAAGTTTGTTCCATCTCATAATATGCAGAGTGCTACAAACTGTTGTTGCTTATCTATCCTTTTACATGCAGCTTAACACAGCTTATAAGAAGCTAACCACCATAAGGCCCTGTGGGCCCAATAAGAGAGCTATCCGTGCCGCAACCTATGATCTAGCTAAGAATGATCCATCTAAAGAGCCTTTTGAGAATCTTCCAGAGCACGCTTTTGAGGGCATTGCGGACTGGGAGAGAGTTAATTCATGACCGGGTGCGTGCTCTTCGTGAAGCATGAGCAGAAGAAAATATTAATGATAGCCACTTTAAGGTGAGTGTACATTGGCAATACACTGCACATACGGTCTATCTGCATTCCTGTAATAATACCTTCTTACAGGACAGGAAGTGTTGTGAACTCATGATAGACCCAATTATCCTTAGCAGCATAACTTTGCAAGTGCAACTCCTTTCACGCATCAAGAAGGGAAACTTAGCTTCCCAAGGACTGGGCTTCATCACCAGATTATTAGATGTTGAATTGAAGAGATTTGATCAAAATGCTCTTAATAAAGCTTATACAAGGTCGTATTTGTTGCTGGGTAGTTTGTAATAGCTAATAAGAAGGAAATAAAGAGGGCCTTACATGAGCTTCTAGTTGCAGACCACTTCATGTCTTCACCTTTTGTGGTGACTGCGAATGGGATGACCATCCGTTAATAGCGCATTGTAGGTTTATTGTGTAAATAAACCTGTGGATGTATGCCACAGTATAATATTCATTTTCTTAGGAACATCACTTAATTCATTTCTGTAAAAGTTTATTTGAAGCTATGGCCAAATTGAAATCTACCATATCATTGGTAAGTTTGATTCTTCATGTGCAGTTCACTTTTTCTTTTTGTTTCTTTTCTACTTTGCTGCGTAGTACTATCTCTGCATGCCCCCTGTGTGTTTGTTATGTAGTACTGAGTATATGGTTAACTTATATGTCTACAAAGAAATTGCCATTCCTGGAAGGTTTTCTGTCCTGGTGCCAAGCGATGCTCCTTTATCATTCATGCTAACTCCAATCAACTAGTATGGGGGCTCCGCAAGAAAGAAGAACCGTCGCTCCGTAACTGGATGCACAAAACATCTGGGAAGGAATGAAACATGCAGTTTATTTTCAAAAAAAGCAAAGGAAACTAAAATAAAGATGAACAAAAAACATCTGCATAGCTTTTGGGGAAGCAGCTGGAAATTTGCACAGAAATCAAGAAAAAGAAGATGCAGAGGGCGTGCGGACGTCTATCAGTCTGCAGCCTGTTCGCTTGGTCGTAAACGATCGTGGATTATAAGCCAGAACAGTATTTTTCTCTCACACCAAACCAGCCAGCAGTAATAATCCACGATCGTTTCAACCGAAACGAACAGGCCCCTGTGTGTGCCCAAACTTAACAGGGGATGATCACTTGCCAGTTGCTGCCCAAACACAAACAGAGGATGCACTTCTTACTCTTGGTAGCTCATGTATGTAACAAGTTGAACAGATCCTGGGTTAATTTAATTTGTTTTGCACACGAAGAAGGCTGTCTTTGACTATGCATGTCCCAGAAAGCAGCCATCACCAAAATCGAAGCACTCTGCATAGGTTTTGGGCCTGTTGATCCTTGGAACAGACTGAATCTTTATTTTCTTCTTATTTTTTTTAGATGTGTGTATTTTGCATCTTGCTGCTGTTATCTCATATGGCATACGTGCCACAGCCCCCCGAGTGTTTATGAGTAAGCTACATCGACAAAGAAATGCCATTTAGTTTGTTTCCTGCAATTTCGTGTAAAATTTATTTTCTTTTCTTTCCTCAGATAACTGGATCACAGTATTCTTTAGTTGCGGATGATCGGAACAATACGCTCAAAGTCATACAATTACCTGGCTTATATTGTATATAATATATTCTTCCGTGTAAAAGAGCATGCTCTTACATCAGACCTGATGGTAAATTTCTGAAGTGCGTACATCCACGGCCTATTAATTTCTGATAACTTGAAACTATCATGTATATATATGTATGTATGTTAAACTATATATATGGAAGCATGCATGTTCTAGAGAGGCATGCATGCTAGTAAGTTTTGTCTTGTGTACTTATATGAACTATATATGATGGTGGCTGAACCATTCGTGTCCGGCCTCCATTCAGATTCAAGTTGCTCATCATGGCGACAAGGCTGCTGCATATATGGAACAGAGAAGACAAGATCAGACATCTACTTCCACGAGCAGTAATATAATGTGAACCATGAACTGAAAAAGCAAGCTGTTAAATCTTGAAGAAGAACCAGTAGAGTATTCCTTGCCTGAAGTCGGCTTCTCCCAGACGTCAGGAATGCGGCCGACGAGTGGCGGGCTTTGCTGCCCAGCTGCATCCATGGCAGCATCATGCAATGCAACGGTCAGTTACGTAATGCTCGTCCACGGAGTCATGCAACAGCCAGCCATGGAAGAATCGATCGAGGACAGAGGGAAGAAGAGGACTCACTGAAGCAGATGTAGAGGACCTGTGGCGGCAGCACGACGCCGCAGGCGATGGGCAGGTACATCATGCGGACGGGGTCCACCGGCTTGGGCAGCATCTTGTTCACGTCGCCGAGGATGACCGGGCACAGGCACCGCAGCGTGTGGTCGTCGCCTTCCGCCGCGGAGCTGGAGCTGTTGAGGAACGCGCCGAGGCCGGCGCAGCACTCGCTCTGCGGCGTCGGCGTCTCCGGCTCGCTCCCCGTCAGGAACGTCCCGCATGTCATCAGCCCCGCCAGCGGGGTCACGCAGTCGGTCGGCGACGACGGCGCGGAGCCGCCCACGCTGCCCGGCAGGCCGGGGAAGCCCGGCAGCTGCGGCACCACCGCGCCGCCGGGCCTGGCGCAGGGCGCCGGCGTCCCTGAACCCGACGACGACGGCACGCCGGGCATGGGTGATGGCACCCCCGGGGAAGAGGAGCTGCCGGGCACCGGCGGCGACGGCCTGGCTCTCGGGTACCCTGGGAACACCGGGTTGCGCGGCCTGCTGCCCGGGCGGCCGGGGAACCGGAGCGCATCGGCGTCCGGAGGGTTGCTCGCCGCCACCGATGGTTGCATTGTCGTGAGCACGGCGGCGACGGCGAGCACGGTGGCAATGCACTTGGCCATAGATGCTGCCGCTGCTGCTGCCGCCGCCGCCTTCTTGCTACTGTTGATGGCTTGCATTGGATGGATTGCTGTGACAGATCAGATGAACCGCTGGGCCAGGGCGAGCAGATGAAATGCAGCTAGATGGTTAGAGGTCTGGGCTGTGCCCATCCGATGATTCACTGCCTCGTCTTTATAGTTCAACTCGTGTGTCATTTCTTATACGGTTAGCACGAAGAACGTGAGATATTGTTCTACTGCTCCTGTCGATAAAGAAATGTGCATGTTCCAGAAAGCAGGCATTTTTCTGAATAATATGGAAGAAGGTCAGGTGTACCACCACCTCGCACAATCTGTGTTTACAGCCATTTAGTCTGGGATCTGGAAGTAGGTGAAATGCAGAATGCTGTCTGTCAAGACAACAGTAGTTCCAAATGGCAGAAGAATGCCCAACAAATCCGGCCCTACTACATCATTATAATAACTCACACATCGCATGCTAGAGTTCCCTACAGTGCACATCGAAATGGAATACTGAATTTGTTTATTGTTCTAATCAATGTTGTACTATTTCTCGCCTCTTGTATGCTAAACTCTTCTGTATAGTGTAGTAATGGTTGGTACTATATTCTGAAGGTTTCTCCATCAATCAAACCTGAAATTCCTTCAGAATGTGTAAACTAACTATTGATGACAACCTAAATTCTCGCCATGTCTGTTCAAACATTCTCGAAGCGCATCTCCAAGGACACTCGCAGCAGCTCCCTGTATTCAGTCAAAACTCAGAACCCTGAACTCTGACTTTGCGGTGAGCACAAGAACGAACATGAAAGATGAAGGGGCACCATTTTTTGGTCCCTATATATATACCTGTTCAGGAATAGGATGGGGCAGAAGAAGCCTGAAGCCTGGCAAGATTAGTCTGGAGCCGGCCCAAGTGAAATGCAATGACAAGCCACAGGAAGCAGAGCTGACATTTGAAAAGAAATACAAACTGTTAATTGCTATCTCCCAGAACTTGCAATAAAAAAAAGAAACCATGCATGGGTGCAAACAACCTTTATCAATCCTTTCATGTTATCTAGTTCAGCACTAGCTTATTTCACATGTATAAAGATACTTTGTGCAAGTGATAAGAGGCCAAAAGGGAGACACTGCGAATGCAAATCACTTTTCTTTCTTCCTTTTTTTTTTTTGCCACAGAATGGCACTAGGATTAGGATTATACATTGATTAAATTTCCCTAGAAGTATGGAGCATTGCATTCGCCATTCGATCGAGTGATGCAAGTAAGACTCAAGGACCACCCAGAGCCACTATTTGAATACAAAATAACACATATGACACTAGAAACAAAGTAATGAACTGATCACAATACGATTCATACCGGCAATGCAAACAGGGTGACCTTGGATGTTTTCTTCTCAAGGCTACTGAACAACCACCTGTAAATTCCAGCGGCTGTGGCATCACCAAGCCTCTGGACAATCACATCTATACAGACCTATATAAAAAAGTCGAAAGTATTTTTTTCTAAATTATGGCAAGATGGGTACAAAGCAAAAACAATGTTGCATGATTTACCAATATGAATGAAACTGTTATTAAATGATCTCATGCTCAAAAGGTAGGAAGGCAATTGCAAAAAAACTGACTCTTTCCAGTTAACGGTCTAATGTTTCTGAAAACAGGCTTTTGAGTTTATTATACTGCTATTTATACTGCTATTTAGTAACTTCTGTTTTTTTTAGAAAAATAGCTTTCTATCTTAAGAGAGAGCTGTACATCTCATGGAGCTGCAATGCTGAATGATCACTTCACATGAAGCTATGATTTCATTACCATTTTTGACAACATTATGAAATAATTATTGTGTGTGTGAAAGAAGTCATGACAATATGAAAGATGGGCTAAACCAGTGCCTTATCATTTCCGAAGTACCAACTCATCACCCTTTTGTTTTCTAATCAGTTTTAGAAGGTTCCAAGAAACATCTTTCACCTTTGCTTTGTATTTTTCATCCTGTGAGACAACAGTGAATAATAACTCCCTTCCAGGTCTTGTCAAAACATAAGTTGTTACCTGCAAAGAATCAAAGGTTAGTTGTATTCTTGAATATAGCTGGATTTAGAAATGATAGGATGGAGTAGAAACAATATTTGATAGAGGTACACAACAGGCCAATTATTGAACTACATCTGTTATTTTAGCATGAACAAATCTGGCATAGATAGATGAAAAAATTGGTTGCAGCTAAAGTGCAACTGCCCTCAACTTATGAGATGCACAGGCTCTTTTGTATCATGTCTACAATATTACTAACTAAATAAGAAAGACAAGATTTAAAGCATCTCAGAATAATAATGACTACTCTGCTTTCCTTAATGTAATTTTGTCTTGGTGCATAGTAAGCATGTTGGCTACAATAGCTATTAAACTGATACCTTTCTAATTGTTTCAGTGACAGCAACAGCAACACAAGTTGGCCATACAGCAAGGGCAACCAAATTTGAGGCAGCAACAAAGGGAGATGCACAGATAGCAACTGTGATACCAGCTACTGTAAGAATATGACCCTGAAATATTTGTCAAAAACATACCAACAATTAATAAAATAAAATAAAAATGTCTGCTAAAGGACTAGACTTCATCAGTTTCACTTTTGGTTATGTATCATAATGTATTGGGACTACTGGCATAGAGTGAACTGAGAATAATCAGTAGATGCAAAATACCGTCAAAGTGAGTTGTCCCGCAAGAATAAAAACTGCTATAAAGCTGTTTATCAGAGCAAACGTTCTCCTTCTGGCCGTTGGACTTGATATTGTAGTAGCAACTATCGTCACTTTCTGAAAATCACGGAGAAGAGGTAATTGGGAGTAAAAGATGACTCATTTGTATTATGATATGTAATAAAGAAACAAGCTCAATGATGCATGGCAATACACATATACAGAATAACCATACCTGAAAGTAAAATACAGATGAGACAACTGCACTTAACCAAAGAAACAGCGATATGTATATCAGGTAGGGCGATCGCAAGATCAGCCAGAAACCTTCAAACATTATGAAAAATTCAGGTTTAGATTTTTGAGATTGGATCGCTGGTCTAGGTGAAGTGACCAGTGAAGACATTTCATCATCAGCCACGGTATTAGGAGCTTGTCCTGCCCTGCAGTTAGCAATAGATTGAAAAGTCTAAGATTGCAACCCACGAATATGGGAAGCAGCAGAATATAAAATAAATCATCAGTGAAGCCTATATATTTATTGCAAAAGCCAACTTTTCTAATAGAGGTCTGTACTACAAATTGTCAATATAGATTGTCACAAAGAAATAGTTGATCATGAATAGAAAGACAATGCTTGTGGCTCAAAGTTTGATAATGGAAATGGACCCAGAAATGTTTTCTATAAAACATATAGATTGCCCAGGTCAAACTTATCAAGAAGATGAATGGATAACATGTAATTAGTGTCCAAAAGGATTTCATACCCTGTTTGACATAATTCAGCTGAAGCATGATTTCCATCAATACAAATTCCTTTTGATGACAGCGCAGCAAGTTCCATCAAGAGTGAGGAAAATAGGAGCAGAACTGAGGAACAATTGGGAGATGTGAAGTCACATTCCATGAAACTAACTCATTAATTTACTCAAGAGAATGATACATACATGGTCCCAACCATGCCATACTTGCAGCAAACAATGAACCAAAGAGTTGCCCTAGCGTAGCACCAGCCCCAATAAAACCAAATAATCTTGAACCTGACTGAACTAAAAGAGAAATAAGAAACTGAAGAACAAGAAAAGGGTTGAACAGGCAGTAAGAAATAAGAACTACATGATTATTGGCGCAATAGTAAATGGTACCTCACTGTCCATGACATCAATTACCCTTGCCCAAGTTGACGATATTGTAATGAGATTTAGCAAAGCAACCTTCAGATTAAGAGAGTTACTCAAATCAATTATCATCTTTGATCTTTAAAACATGAACAGCATCATGTCGTCATTAGGAAAGGACATACCCAAAGAAACAAACTTATTCTCACAACTATGTAGAACCAGCTCTGATTTCTCCATCCCGCAGGTTTGTCTGAACCTCCTTCACTTGACTTCATCATCAGACAAGAGAACATAGGGCAACAACTCTTTTGTGTCAGGAATTGTTGCTCAAGATTCCAATAAAAGAAAATTTGACGCACATAGGAAGTGGTGAAGTGAAAGAAGTATTCTTGGACAGTTAGTTTTCCAAAGATCACAAGGAAATGTGGCAATATTGATGGATATGGACAGCAAATGTTCATCAGCGTCTATTACCTGTGAGGTAGATCTGGACTGCTCTGGTGTAGAGGTATACCAAAGCAAAAAAAATGCAAGAAGAGATATGCTGAAAAACCTGTGTATCATCACCAAAGCCTGAAACAAGATATATACATGATAAAATGAGCCTGTATCCTTATAAAAGAATAATTGCAATGTAATTTCTACTATGTCAATAGTTTTACAAAATTATCTGGATTCTGAAAATGGAAAAGTTCTTACTAAAAATGAAAATAAAAACAGATAAATCAAACAATCAATACCAAAGGGGGAAAACTTTTAAGAGAAACTGGCCATAATCATTCAACTGACTTCACTATTTTTACACTTATAAGCAGCAAGTGCAACAAATAAGTCTTCCAGGATCACTTTTAACAGCAGACCAGCAGTGCATAAAAGCAACACAAATAATGCAAGAATTCCACAGACAAAGGAGGGCCAGCAGTCCACCTTCATCTCGCAACATAACAAAGACAAAGATCCCATCTTTAGAGCTTGAACAACAAAAAAATCCTAATTATTGTGTACAACGAAACAAGAAACCATGAATCAACCCTGAGGGAAATGATTGAACCAGACCAGGTGTGGAGCCAGCCATCAATTCCACTGGGGCATCTCTATTGTACCAATGGGGTCATTACTTGATTTCTATAGGATTAATTAACAGGCCAGCTGACCAGTACAGACCCACATTATCAATTTATCACCGGGGTTAATTTTATGATTCCCAAACCAATGGATGCGCCCAAGCTAGGAAAGGGAGGTGGCACGGACGGACGAACCTTGGGCTTGGGTATGGAGGGGAGGGAGAAGGCGAGGGAGGCGATGGGGGCAGAGACGACGGTGAGGAGGAGGGAGCCGGCGAAGAGGCCCGGGAGGGTGTCGAGGCCCAGGGAGATGGCGCCCTCGTCCCGCAGCGGCAGCACCACGAAGTAGGCGCTCAGGATCTGCGTCTCCAGCACAGACAATTCAGATGGCGTATCGTAACCTTGCAGGAACGGGGCGGGAGGACTACGGCGAGAGATGGATCAAAGGTTGGCTTACGAAGAAGAAGGTGGCGGCCGCGCTCATCAACGGGGGGATCTCGTGGGGGCGGACTGCCACGAGGGAAGCCACCGCCGCCTCGGCGCGCTCCCGGATGAGCCGGCGAGGCGTCGCCATTCCCCTGCTCCTCTCCCCGACGGCTTGGGTTGACTCTACTCTTCCGCATCCGCAGTCCTACTAGACTCCTGCATCGGCCGGCTATGTGCTTGGGAGTCTGGAAGAGCCATTGTTTATATGCCCATATTGACCAAAATTCAATCTCTCATCAAAGTGCAAGTGCATGATCAGGACGTCATTTTAGGAGCCAATCGCGAAAAAAAGGAAGACATCATTTTAGGAGCATTGCTTCCGTCAAATGATCAGGACATCATTTTAGGAGCATTGCTTCCGTCGAATGATCAGGACATCATTTTAGGAGCATTGCTTCCGTCGAAATGAGTACATGCCAACAGTGCTGAAATTTTCTGGATATAAATTGATTGACTGCATCCGTAGCTTAAGACAATGTGTTTATTATGATACAAATGTTTTACCCTTCATCCCTCTGGATGTCCATAAAAATTTACTTAAGACGACGTGATTACAAGATGAAAAGAATGTAGGACACAAGACACGTCCTTCATCATGCATTTATATATGATATGACAATTATATGTACAACACAGCGCTTGGACACCACTATTTCCAACCACCACTAACTGCTTCGCGTGTTCTTCTCCAACCTTCAATTCAAGCGTCACTCAGCAACGCTCCCTGCAAGACTGAGCTGAAAGTCTTCTTCTGGCTGGCTGGACACGCCTGTAAGAGCGCACAAACATCATTCTTCTCGAGGAACTTCTCACCGTTCACCAGGACGAGGGGAATGTATTGCAGGACCAGCTTCTTGCACTGCCAGCACGAAAACAAGATTAGCCATTGCATATCATGTCATCGCAAATCAACTGAGCAAGAAAACGATTCCCAATATAAGTTGTTTTTTTTTAAGAATTAGCGTTTCTGCAAAACATTCAGATTTTTTATATGACAGGGAAGTAAATCTGAAATATAGTGAGTGGAGGGGTGAAAAGTTTACACACATCAAAAGCCAAATAGCTTACCTGCTGAACATGACCTTCGATCTTATTGCACTCCTTGATAAGAATCTGAATTATCTCAAGCTGCAGACATCAATCAAGTGGAAAATGTCAGACACAGAATGGCAACTCATGGTAGGGAACAAGTAAATGACGCGAAGCTATTACCTCCGCATCTGGATCTTTCAGTTTGGACATAATTTCATCAAGCAGATGGTGGCACAACACACATGTGCTGTTACTTCTCACTCCGGAGAAAATAGCCATGTCCCTACACAGGCCATACTGTTTGCAGAACGCTTCTGGTTTGATCTCAGTAATCTTGGCAAACAGGAGAGTTGCATAAGAGTCCATCAATTCAACACACTGCAGAGATAGGGAAGTTGTTAGAGAAAATTACAGTAAACCCACATAGTATATTATTTAATTTTGGGCAGCACCTTCTCAGCATGGTATGTAGTATGGAAACCAAATGTTTATGTATTTAATGTCTTGCAACCATGCCAATATTTTAATTTTCTACAATACATATACATCTATAGTTATATAAGAATAAACAAAATATGTTCAAGATGATCACCTTCTCTTCAAAGGAGAATGACTTAGAGCAAGCGTCATGAAGGAATTCCATGACCTTATCTTGTGTCTGTTTCTCGCTGAGATAACTGACAGCTTCGCTCGTGAAGTTTTCACAGGCTGAGCATAGTGGGCCGCTACCCTTGAGATGGACAGGAATCTTGGTTGAAGAAATTTGTTCCTTCAAGGTCAAGCCATGATCAGGGAGTTCAACTGCACAAGATGAAGAAAAAGTGAGAAGGCAATAAACTGGGTATGATCCAATCTGCAGGCAAAAGATCCAGCGCTACTAATAAGGAAAGGATGGTTCATGAGTTGCTGTGGATGGATGCCATGCTGAGCCTATGTTATTGTCACACTCGATTTTAAGGATAAAATGGGATGCAAAATCTTATGTGCGCCCAGAGATCAGTCACACACATAAGCCGACAAATTATAAATAGTATCATCACAAGTGTTTATTACATCACGAATAATAAGACATGGTCTTCACATAAATGTAGCGGAAGTATAAAGAAAATTTCTCGCGGAAGCTCCATATCACAGGGACGTCAACTGGTTGACCACAAGTCTAGTAATCATCAGGAAAGTCGTCATTACCATAGCCATCTGTTACCCATCCGGGATTTTTATCCAAATATTGAAAATAAACAAGCGTAAGTACATGTCGTACTCAACAAGTGTAACATGAGGTTCATGAGGCTCAAAAGGCTTGACACAGGTTTTCTTTATACTTGCTATTCTTATGCTAAAATTGTGGCAACTAAAAACTGAATGCTGTTAAACCTGTGTCAAGCCTTTTGAGCCTCATGAACCCCATGTTACACTTGTTGAGTACGACATGTACTTACGATTGTTTATTTTCAATATTTGGATAAAAATCCCGGATGGGTAACAGATGGCTATGGTAATGACGACTTTCCTGAGGATTACTAGACTTGTGGTCAACCAGTTGACGTCCCTGTGATATGGAGCTTCCGCGAGAGATTTTCTTTATACTTCCGCTACATTTATGTGAAGACCATGTCTTATTATTCGTGATGTAATAAACACTTGTGATGATACTATTTATAATTTGTCGGCTTATGTGTGTAACTAATCTCTGGGCGCACATAAGATTTTGCATCCTATTTTATCCTTAAAATCGGATGTGACAGTTATGTTATGTTATGTAGTATCTATATATGCCACCCTAGCAACTGGAATAGGAGGATCAGAAAATAAAACATGCTCAATTTCAACTTATTTAGTAATCATGTTAACTGTTTAGTACCCTAAACATCTAGACATACGACCACTACACCTTTTGGGTAAAGGAGATGTACAGCTGTACATAAGCAAACCAGCATGACATGATGATATTTTCTATCTATGAAATAACAGTAGTAACAAAGAGTGCGACCAACGGTTATTATAGTTTTGCAGCATAAGTGATAAGTCAACGGTGCTGATATGGAGTCCCTGAGTGAGAACATAATGAATTGATGATACTTTCTATGAAATAACAGAAACAAATAGTGCAACCAACGGTGATTATAGTTTTGCAGCATAAGAGTAAGTCAACGGTGCTGATATGGAGTCCCTGAGTAAGAACACAACATAAGGATGCCAAGTCTGTTACCAGCAGCAGGTACAAGACGCCTGGCCTCTGCAGCAGGTCCCCAGGCGGCGACGAGCAGCAGCAAGAGGAGCGTGAGACAGAAAGGCGCTTTGGAACCCATCTGTATGGTGGACTGGCGATGCTTTCCTTGTCAACCTGCCATGGGAAGAAATACATCACATACAGTACAGACTACAGAGCTTCAAGAAAACCAGTTGATTTCGGTTAGCCAGGAACCGAGGGCAGCCCCCTTCCAGATCCAGCAGAACACGGGGAACCAACCCCGGCGAGAGATCGACTGGGAAGCCGATCGGCGAGGGAGGGCGGGGGAACGGGGAGCAAACGAGGAAGGGGGCCAATCAGTCAAGCAAACAAATCGAGCAAGGGGGAAGAACCCCAAAAATCGTCGGCGGGATTGCAGATTACGGACTGGGTGGGGAAACAAAAAAAAAAACACAGCGATTTGAAGAAGAGGAAAGGTCGCCTCACCTGAAGCTCGAGACGGAATCAATCAACCGAATCGAATCGTGGAGCAGCGATCCCGGACAAGGGCGGAACTAGAACTCCACCGTGCCCGCGCGGCTGTTAATATGGGGGCGGGCTGGCGGCGGTGGTGGGCGGTGGCGATTTCCTATCCTTGTCGGCTCCAGTTGATCGTTGGTTGCTGTTGCGTACCGGATTCCGGTTCCGTTCCGTTGAGGTCGTTTGGCAAGCCAAGAAAACAGACGTACAGAGTCTGTTGGTGGCACCTGCACGGCTGCAACTTATTGGCGGCCCGGTCGGGCCCAATATGTCCAGCCTGCCAAGCCCAACGGACAACCCACTCGGTGCCTTAAGCGGCCCAAATGACCGTGGTGGCTGTGATTTTTGTAAAAAAAAAGGTGTCAAAAAAAGAACACAGCTCCTCGTGAAGCATTTTGATTTTGAAATCTTCCTCTATGTTTTGACAAATAAAATTGCTTTCAACTAGTGATCGATTGTACCTCTTTGAAATTGCACAAGTTAAACCACAAACGAAAAATGAACGATAAATTTGAAAATTTTGAGATTGTACCTCTCAAGAGAAAAGTAGTGTAAACAATTTTCACACTATTAGACTCAGTGTGGTGTAAACAAGTTTTGCACTCAAAGGTGTGACCTTGGTTAACCTACTTCTCACTTTAGGGCCCGTTCCGTTAGGCAAAAATTGACCGGGTATTATTCCTACTGCTCGTAGGCTATGTAAATTAAGGCCCTGTTCAGTTAATCTGAATTCTTCCAGGAATCATTCCAGATGAGAAAAGCTTATATAAATTAGAGAAACAATCTAGCTAGGAATTGTTCTAGGGAGCAAATTTGTGATAACTGAACGAGCGCAAGCAAGTAATCCGGGCAGGAACTATTCCGGAGAGCAGTTCCCTAACGGACCCTTAATGGAAAATGGAGTAGCCAAAGTTTGATTCCTGGCTGAATGACTTGGGTGGCGTGTCACACGAGGACCGAGCAGGGCTCAATGGCCTGTTCTGTGTTTGAGCACATGGTTAGTGCCGGTGCCCAAGTTTTTAAATGATGGCAGTGCTCCTGGCAGCACTAAGAAAAAAAGACATGTCAATGGTTTACGCTACTCTGTTTGTATTTTTCCATGAAAAATGGGTTATTGGTATATATTGAGATATTGAATGCTTATTTTCATGCAGAAGAGAGGGTAATTCTTCTCAATGATTAAGTGTAAAACAGTTGAATACAACGCCCTTTATGAAATGTGCATTCCACGCGCTAACTCAAGAGCTGCACCCAGCCTAAGCTACTACTCGCAAAGTAAACAACTCAGGGTATGTTCCATTTGCTCCACAGGAGGGTCTAAACTAGGCTAAAAGTGCCTTAGGGGG